GTAAATGGTATAGATAGTGGCTACGTATAGTTAAATGGTTATGTTAATATTAGCATTATTTGAATTATTTTTTTATAAAATTACAAACAGTTTTGCTAGTATTTTTTTTGGAAAAATCAAAAATCTTTATTTTACGCATACCCTATATCAGTTTCAATTAAAAAATTAAATGACAGCTCCTCTATAATATGAAGAAAAAAATTGACAGATATTGCAAAAATATAAATTTAGTGAAATTCAATATAAATAAAGGCAATAACAATGACATTTTTAATGTGAAAATGAACATTGGTGAGTCTTGTACCGAGTATATTGCGAAACGTATATCTTAACACCACATCTCACGTTTTTATTCACAATAAGATATTTCAGAATAAAAAAAAAAGTATATAATTTTTGTTTTGAATTAAATATAAAATACACTAAAAGGTACTTACATTTCTCTTGTTATTGATTTCCTTATGGGATGCACCAGAAAGAAATCTACACCACGGTAATTTGCAATACGGCTACAAGTAAGAAATTAATCCTAGATTAAAATCCCAACTTCTTAAGACTTGGTACTTAAATTTTTTAATTTGTAATTTTCAAAACTTATCTCAAATAAAATTAACTTTATCAAAACTTTAATACCGAAGTTTTCACACTGACAACTCTTAAAAAATGAATTTATGGAAAAAATTTTTCTCAGCTTTATTTAAAATTTTGATTTTAATTTTTTGACGTTAATTTCAATGTGCTTACATATTTAAAATAGAAACCAAGGTAATTTTATACGTGGCCAACGTTGCAGAAAATATATATTTACCCGATTTTTATAGGCGTTCAATTTTCAACGTAATATCCTATTCAGCACAGCCGCGATAATTTGCGCTTGCGACAAGACTTCTTACAAAGGTGATAAGATTTTCGTGACAGAAACTATCGCAAAAATGATAGATAAATATCGATAAAAATCAAAATGGTTCCTGAGAAAATTTATCGCATTCACAATGGTTTATTCTTGAGAAAAATATAATGTAATTCTTGAGAAAATATATCTTATTTATAATAAGATTAGAAAAATCTAACACATTCTTGATAATTCATTCTATCTCATTCACAATAGTTAGTTTTTGAGAAAAACCATTGCATTTGGGATAATTTTTTAAGAAATTTATCGCATAGCTTATTTTTCAGAAAAACATGTCGTATTTCTGATAATTAATTCTTGAGAAAATCTATCTCATTTATGATGAGATAAGAAAAATCGAACGCAATTTTTGATAATTGTTTCTATCTCTTTCGTAATAATTAGGTCTTGAAAAAATCTATTATATTTCAGATACTCAGTTTCTGGAAAAATCTGCCGTATTCACAATAGTAGTTTTATACGATGAACTGTTTAAAACTGTGAATCTAACAATATAAGCAGGAAATTCTTGACATAACCCTAAAATATACACAAAAAAAAACAAAATATAGAATATAAGGTTCCCGTCTTAATGAATGTAAAAAGAAAAAATCTTAATAAGAATTATTAGGAAACGAAGTGAATATATCTAATAATAACATTATAAGGATATGATGGAAAATTTATGAAATCTGTACATAAATTAAATAACTTTATTAAAACACTTTCAACATTTCGGTTGAACCCTTGAAATTCTTTTCCATAAACATTTTAGAGCTCCTCTATAATATTCTGCCTTTACAGTCTGACCATTTAGTGCAAACAATATTCCTTGCATCAAAGAAAACCGTCAATCGTCAAAATATAATTTTTTCTGGTAACTTTGATATCACGCCTGATATCCTACGTTTTGAAAATTTGCTTTTTGCAGTGACTGACTAACTTAACAAATGCTTACTAAAGATTTTTAATATGTCCTTCCAATACTTATCTTTTCACTTTTTCAGTCGTCCGTTAGAGTGTGTGGCACTTAGCATGCACAAATCTTTTAGTTGTCCAAATCTGTGGTCAAACGATTTAAATTCGATAACATGCACTATTCCGTATCCGAATATTTTCTGCAATGATTTTCGAAAACACACAGAAATAACTTTGAAAAAAATCTTTTCTACGGAAGTGGTTCCCATACAGTTCTATCAACATTTATGTATTCACCCATACTGTTATTACCCAATTTATTTTCGATTTTCGTTTCATATTGTCATCTACAGACGACTACATAAAATGTTAACTTTTATCGAAATAATACATGACATACCTCAAACTTTGACGGTAAGTAGAATAAGTGTACACTATTCCGTTATTCAATAGATGTCGCTGCGCTAAAAATTTTTTTGGAATCAGTTTCGTTGTTTTAACGTAATTTGGCTATGTTTAGCTATGATATATCTTTTATTATATCTCAAAATTAAAACTAATTCTTTCACCTTCTGAACCATTCTTTACTGAACAATAATAGGTCTGTTCCACGAGCTACTCATAGTAACTTTGAGTAAACACTGTGTATACACAAGCGCGTTCCACCAGCAAATTTTCAAGTATTTTTGTGTAAATTTTACTTCTGTTTTACTCATGTGTTACTAAGAGTAGCTCGTGGAACAGACCTAATGTTTTCCTTTATTGAAAGACAATGGAATGTTAAAATGAGTATTTAGCCGACAAAAGTTACTATACCTAAAATAATTTATATTTTTTAGAATTATTGATCAACAACTTTTTTTATTTATACGTTATCACGTTGTTTAATCAATAGACCTATAAATTACATATATATATAATACATATAAAACAGAAAAGAAAATTAAAAATAAAAATTTTTTTTCTTATTTAAATAATTTCGTTATGGCATATAATCAACAATATATAAGAAAATATTAATTTCTTTTTGAGATAAGACATTTAATATTAACTAATGTAGAGCTTAACACTGCTTTTATTGATATATTAAATTTAATAATAATTTTATATTGAGGAACTAAATTCGTAGTTTACGCGTACGCATTTTGTTCGAGATTTAAAAGTACTCATGTAGAATTCTAAGGACCAATTAAAAGTTAAATCATATAGAAAAGTAAATACAATAAAAGAATATAAATAAATTATTAAAAATACTAAACAATAATAACCGTGTAATCGATAGCAATATTCCCGTTGATTAAAATATTAAAAAAGTAGTCGAAATTAATAGAAATACGTAATATACTTATAGAAATAAATTCTGTAGTTTATTAAGTCTATTATTAAATATACAAGCCCATATTTCGAAATATGTATAATCACGCAATATCGTTTGTTGGAATTGCTTTAAGTTATATATTGTACCAACTTATATTTTGAGCTCATTCCCTGTTGCATACTATACAGTGGTATTAAACACATTTTTATTAAATAATATAAGAAAAAATAATAATTTAAGTAAATATTCCTATGACTATTAGTAGGAAATAATAGGAAATTGAAAGAAAACGAAAACTAAAATAATATAACATAACAAAGGTGAAAAAATTATTTCAAAAACAATATTTAAGAAAAAATGAAAAAAAAACAATCTAGACAATTACATAAAATATATATTAATAAAATTAAAAAAAAACATAATTAAATTTTAATTCTTAATTTACAGCGACGATAACTTAATTACAAAATTTACCGAACTATTAATATTATAAGTAAAAAGACTTTTTCAAAATAAAACTTTTATTGAAAAATAAAAGGTCTAATCACGATTAAATACACAATTTTATTATAAGAAATTTATAATTTGTAATTAACTATTTAAACTAAAATGAAATAATCATTTGTCAATAAGAATTGAAAAAAAATTAAAATTATAATTATTTTACATATTGTTTATGAAGTTATCGGATTCTATTATTTTTGATTATTTATTCATGCTGATAAAAGTTTATATTAACAATTTAAATATACTAGATATTAGAATACATATGATACTAGAACAACATGTACCATAATAAAATATAATATAATATAATATAATATAATATAATATAATATAATATAATATAATATAATATAATATAATATAATAATATAATATGTAATATTATAATAATATATAATATAATATATAATATATAATATATATAATATAATATATAATATTATAATATAATATATAATATTATATATAATATTATAATATAATAATATAATATATAATATTATAATAATATATAATATAATATATAATATTATAATAATATATAATATAATATATAATATTATAATAATATATAATATAATATATAATATTATAATAATATATAATATAATATATAATATTATAATAATATATAATATAATATATAATATTATAATAATATATAATATAATATATAATATTATAATAATATATAATATAATATATAATATTATAATAATATATAATATAATATATAATATTTTAATAATATATAATATAATATATAATATTATTATAATATATATTATAATATATAATATTATAATATTATATAATATAATATATAATATTATAATATAATATAAAAACAATGTTGTAATATGATAAAATAAAAAATATAGTAATATGTTATAATAAAAAAAATTAAAAATAACATAATAAGAAAATTTGAAATATAATATAAAAAATATAGCTCAAAACTATAAAAATAAAATATAATAAAAAATATAGCAATATAATATAATAAAAAATATTGAAATATAATAAAATAAAAAATATAGAAATATAAAATAATAAGAAATATAGAAATATAATATAATAAAAAATATAGTATAATATAATAAAAATCTAGTGATATAATATGATAACATGTATAGTAATATAATATAATAAACACTATAGTACTATGACATAATATAATATAATAAATAATATAATATAATAAAAAAAAATATTAAAATATAATAAAATAAAAAATAAAGAAATATAAAATAATAAGAAATATAGAAATATAATATAATAAAAAATATAGTATAATATAATAAAAATCTAGTGATATAATATGATAACATGTATAGTAATATAATATAATAAACACTATAGTACTATGACATAATATAATATAATAAATAATATAATATAATAAAAAAAAATATTAAAATATAATAAAATAAAAAATAAAGAAATATAAAATAATAAGAAATATAGAAATATAATATAATAAAAAATATAGTATAATATAATAAAAATCATATAATATAATATAATATAATATAATATAATATAATATAATATAATATAATATAATATAATATAATGTGATATAATATAATATAATATAATATAATATAATATAATATAATATAATATAATGAATCACATTACATGTTAAATTAAAATCTCTGAAAAAAATGTTAACCCTGTGGCGGAGCAGCAGTCATAGATTACTTTGGGATTCTCGTAAAAAGGATCCTCAGTCATATTGTCTCTACCTTCTACGGGTGCTTGCTTTCAACTTGTTCTGATGTTTAATAATATTAATTTTGTGCGCATATTAGCAATACAGAATTTACGCCCTTTTGCATGACAGATGTATAGATATTAGAGTTTGCTCTTTCCTATCCTAGAGCTATCCTATTCAGCGCAGATTCTGAATGCTAAAGGCATCAGCTATAAAATTATTGTGGTATTTCTCCAGTTGTAAAAGATGCCTTCCCTGTAAAGAGTACGAGCATCCTGATATGTATCCATTATCATAGACCTTATGCTTGGATCTTGACAGAACATACGTCAATTCCTGTGAACTTAAACTTCTAGGAATGTGACTCTTTATGCTAAAATTAATCTATCACCCAGTGGGTACTAGTACGATAATAGTTTGGCTGGTGTTTATAAAGCTCGAGTTTTTTTGACTTCTTTCGGATTATTTTAATCTCGCTGATATTAATTGTACAAGAGATATTAAAAAATTGCAGTGTCATATATAAATGTTAAACAATTTTAAATTGTTCATGTAAAGTTAAATCAGTGTAAATATAAGTATTTTTATTATTATTATTTAAAAAATTAATTTTGTATCTATTGATTATTCATATTTTGACACCTTTGACATCTACTGGCCTTACTGTATTTTACATTTTTCAGTACAAACACACATTAAGTAGGATTGATATGCGATCCTATTCATATAGTTTAATTCTCAAGTCATGTACGTATAAGTTATTTCATTATCATCTATTTAATAATGACTAAAATTGCTTTATAGTTAAATTTATCTTGTTTTCAATAGGAAAAGATACCAATTTGCAATAATTGTTGACTATAATTACTAATAATTAATTAATCTTTTCTTAATATATTTAATAAAAGAATTGTACTATAAATTTTTAGGTGATTTCTATAGACTAAGTTACATTAAATGAACAGATGAAACTGTAAAAACTGTAATATATATACTCTATTTTATGAAAAAAAGCAACTGTATTATATATTTACAATGTTAATATAAATTTTTAAGACTTTTCTTAAAAATGTTTAAATATTTTCCTACGGATCAATAACCTCTTCAGCCTTACCTGATTTAAAATTAACGTTATTATATAATTAAATTTATTAATAAATACATTTAGCTGAACATTATAATTATAAAGTCATAAATAAGAACTAATTTCTTAACATTGAATTTTCGGCATATAAATAATATATTTTATATTATAGTATATATTAATTTCATTAGATATTATGAAAATTTCAAGATAATACATTTAATTTGAGTCATATTTTTTAACTATTTTTAAAATTAGAAAATATAAATATATAGTGCTTCATTAGAATACATTAATTACTAATTAGAGAATGAAATTTTGTTTTTTTTTTTTAATAATTATTAGAAAATTTAATATTGAAAGTGTTTCCCAACATGACTTTGTGATCAATTATCTTCTCTTCCATGAAAAGGATTTGTTTAAACAAATTTATTTGGATTATTTTATTTGCTAAAATTATTACTAAATTACATGGTTTATTAAAGTAATGCATTTTATAAATTCAATTTAATATAGAAAATTAAAGAAGTTTAAAATTTTATATATATAAAAACACACATATATACGTATACATATATATTTATGTATTTATATGTATATTGAATATTATAGCCGAAATAAAATGTTTCAATTTTAAAAATTATATTAGCCGATTTATTTGTGAAATTTAAATAAAAATTTGTTTAATAATTTCAATTTAAAAAAAAATGTTTAAAATGGTGTGATTTTTATTAACCAGGGGAGGGAATCTTAACCTGTAAATGGATTAAATTGATGTATTGGGAACGATGCACATTTGACAATAGGTTTTAGTAAAGACTACTGTTTTGAGCAACTTTTTCTCTTATACGCTTAGTTCAATTTTCGAGATACCGGACTCGAAAACTGTAAATTTTTATATGAAAACCACCAACGAAACATAGATGCGCCATCTACTACATCGACGTGCCCAGAAAATTCGAATTGAGCCATGTATTTTATGAAAAAAAAGAAGTTGGACTGAGAAGTCATGATGAGTCACAGTCTTTCTTTATCTTAATTTATCAAATTAATGGAATGTATAGTAAGTTCGAAAGTACGTTGGATATGATACAAATAAAAACAAAGTTTATTTTATTTGAAACATACCGTTTTACATTTATTTTAGATTTTTATAGTCTAAAATCGTAGCGAGAAAGTGTTATAGATCATCAGTCAGGATGTGGTGCATCTTCGTGGTTAGCTTCTAAGTCTGCAAAATGTTTTTCTTTTGTTTTTTTGATCGCTGAAAACATTTTTCCAACACTACAGAAAGTTAACCTATCTGATTCGCGTAAGTAATTCCTATTGAATAATATCGTTAAAAATATTTATTATTAGAAATACTGCATCTTATATATATATATATTGGTACTCGTATAAAAGTGTACCTCTTATAATACAACTTTTAAAGCGAAATTAGTTAAACTAAACTAAACAGGATGTTTGATGATTTAGAACAACAAAACTAATTTGGAATATTTTTTCATTTATTTAAAATATTTGTACCAAAGTCGTAAAAATTATTTCTTTTGCTCTCACATTGTTGATAAACCTTAATTATAATATGTACTTTTAAACATGTTTTCAAAATCCATTAAAAAAATTAGTTTCTTGTTTTTTATTTGAGCACTGTTCAAACTCACCACCACCTTTTCGGATCCCTTAAATCATTCATTTCTGGATTATAAATGGAACAAAGGAATATTTCTTCGTACTCTTATTGACATACTCTAATTGGCATTGGGTTTAAACTTAGATATCGGGTTCAAGCTTAGACATTGAGTTTAAACTCAGACATTGAGTTTAAATTTGATTGGGTTGAAGGGTAAAAATTGATAGAATTCTCCTTCATTCCGTCCATAAAGCCACTCGTCACGAATACCTTTTCATCATTTAAATTAACCTATTAAAAAAAATGTATTTGAATAATTTACAAATATACCTAATGAAGCGATTCACTGGTCTTACTTTTGATGACCTGTTAACTAAGAACTTGACAGGGCTAAGTTGCCTTCTTTCGGGCTTTTTGTCGGCAGTACTTATCAAAATTTCGTCAACGCACGAAACAGGCAACGGCTTACATAAAGGTAGAGTTTGGCCTTCTATTGTTAACCCTGGTCTTGATCCCTTCGTGTTATTCCATTTAAAATTAAATTCTGAAATTAGTTCGAACCCTCCAGTAGATGCATTATAGTCTTCTGGTACATCGACCACAACCTTCATCATATCTCTCATCATTCTCGGACATAAACTTGCTGTTACATTTGTTGATGCAGACAGGTCAGGATTTGCATTTATTTCTAGTAGTATTGGATTAAAGTTGTCATCAAGCATAAAATCGCAACCATAGACTTCGAAAGAGTTTCGTGTCAAAACAGTATCCTCCAGGCTTGCCATCGCAATGGCGGATAAATTTGTACAAACGCCGCTAAATATTTTATCCTCCCAAATGCCATCAGGCATATTGTGACACCTGAGGTATGCTTTAAATTGCTCCAATGACCACATGTTATTTCTAGGTAAACGCTCATCTCGTTCCTTTTCATTTTTAAATCTTTTTTGAACTGAATTATTCGTCAAGTGTATTGATCGCTTTAAATTACTCATACTAAAAACCTGTGAACTAAACCGTAAGTAGCAATCATTATACACCCAAACCGACAACGCTTCTTTGCCAATTATTAGCAACATATAAATTCGTAGATCAAATTTAGTTTTGTATATTAGATGAGGTCTTTCTACAACGTGTAAGACATAAAATAAATTAATTCTAGAATTAATAAGTCATGTATGTACTATATACTGCTTACCTATGTACTTCTGTGCAATATATCTACGAGTGTCGTGATTAGAAGCAAATTGTAAAATATCGTCCAAGGATTTTTTTACAACAACACCATTTCCACGACACCGATATCCCGGCTTAAGTATCCACAGATTACGACACCCATCCCATTTTAAATCTGGCTTGTAGTATTCAAGTTTATGCAGACAGCGTTTTGCCTCATTTGCATAAACCGAGAGTTCCTGATAGGCCATTCGTAGCTTAGCTTTGTCAAAAATTATGCTGTTTGAACTAAAAATGAATCTTCGCCACTCAAAGTCAATACTGTTCGAATCTTCTTTTGGTTCGTCCTCTAACGTAAAATTTTCATACATACTCACTTGCTTTCTAATATTCGCAACTGCAAAATGTACAACTTTAGCAGGCACAGTTCCCTCCCTCTCGTTAAGAATAACTTCAGCAGACATAAGATTATTCCATAAATAGCGCATGAAACTACGACATTGCGTTTGGCGATAATCATCAATAAACGATTTGTGTTCTGCATAAATACCACCTAAACGATAAAAGCGAGGATAACTCAAGTTCGATGCACCCTCTTTACGATACCACATTTCTTGCTCTGTACAGCCAATTAAACCAATTTTCGTTGTGAAGTTTAACCTGGGAGCACGCAGAACTCGATTTCGATAGGGATACACTCCCGCACGTCTTTCGATACGTCCAACACGACGCCATATAAAATATGCTGGCACATCCTTCATAATTTTAGACAATAAGACAACTTCGTATTCATTTCCATCTGCAGCTTGTTGTAAAAGTTCTTCCGTCGATAGATGCTGCAACCTCTGGTGCCGATCCGTTGTCAGTTTTTCTACCCAACCACGTCGCAATAGAGTGTTCCTTATAAGGTTTCCCCTTCCGTATATTGTGAAAATATGGTGCTTTTGATTTGCCATCTGTACCATATGCTTATACTTACTTAGCTGAGAACTAAATAATTTGCGACATAACAATAATTTCTTTAACTTGGTGAAGGAGTTTGAGACATCTGACTCCGTCCCATTCTGCAATTTTTCTTTTAAATGCTTAGCTAACAAATCATATGTTTCCTGAAGTGTAGTAGTTTTTGTACTGGAGAATGAGGTGCTTTTTTCCGTACTTAATGTTGGTGACGTTGAGCTTTCTTTAGACATGATAACTAGAATTTTGAAACAACAAAAGAACTTAAAACATATATATAATGAATAACTAATGTATATTTTAGTTTTTCATTTTTTTTTTTTTTCTTTTTACTTTTTTTGATAAAATATTATACTCTTTGCATACTTAACTAAAAAAATTAAATTCGCCTACAGAAAAATTTTAACGTACTAGATTGATGAAATTCACAATAGGTCTGTTCCACGAGCTACTCGTAGTAACTTTGGGTAACACTGTGGATACACAAGTACCAAAACATGTTTTCTCTTAACAAATTTATCAAAAGCTACAAATCGAGAAACATATATGAAAACTAGAAATTATATCAAATAAAACTATCTGAGTTGCCTTGCTGCTTTTCAAAATACTAAGACTCAATTATTTTAATTGATAGCTGAACGACATCATCAATTATTTGCTTGTTAACTGTATCTGGCAAGAAAACCCTAAAAAAGTTCTATTCAATTATCAACTCAATTATTATAAATAGACGGATTTATGAACGTTAAAAACTAATTTTTTGATATACTTCCATCATCAAATTAGTTTTTCGAAATATCAACAAATATTTGTCGGACGATCACTGCATAATATGACACTTAGTCTAGAGGAGTTATAATAAACTAGTATTTTTTTGAAATGATGACTATATAATACAAACCGATAGTTTTTTTTGCTACAATCTTTTCTTGTAATTAAAATTGAATATAAAAATCTGTAATATATATGGGTTCACAGTATATTGCCATAAGCTATAAGTCACGACTTTGTTGTCCAAGAAAGTTCCTACACGTCTAATGTCAGGCTTTGGTGATGTGAGTTGACGACTAAAATTGACATTGGTAGCTCTGGACTTCAAATCTCAACGGTTTGAAATATCATGAAAAACATTTGTAGAGTTATGGAAAAACCTATTGCCAGCTGTGTATGGACAAGTCTTTGAAATAGTACTAAAGCAATGCAGTACGAAGATTATAAAATATACAGTGCATTTAAAATATATTGCAAATATATTGCATCACAAAATGATTAATACATGACAAATATTAAAATTTAGATTTGTATTTACTGTAAGAGACAGACAAGTATAAGATGCAGATGCGAAAGGCAATTTTGGGGCCTCAGACTTGCTAATACAACGTATGGAAAAAAGTAAAACCATCTCTGTAAAACCCATTGAAGATGAAAATTGAAACCTTATTGCCTATAAGATCTGGTATAACAAATTAAGGTCTGAAATAACAAATTAAGGTCTGGCAAACTTACCCCAATGAAAATAATTTAAAAGGGTTCGATTAGAAATAAAAATAGCAACAAAAATTTTAGTTAATTAACTAATCATAAAAAATTTAACTTAAAATTAAGTAATCTGAAATAAATAGATATGTAGAGCTAAATTAATAGACTAATTATAGAATTCAGTAATACGTTATTAAAGAAAAACTGTCACGAGATCAAAATAACGCAATTAAATACCAACAAAAAAGCAATATTAAGTATTGAAGACATTGAAATTGATGACATAGAACAATCTGAATGTTTTGGTAACGAACACAGAAAGTATCCTCTCTGAAATCAACATCAGAATTTAAGAACTCAAAGCCGCTTTTTGTCAAAATCGAAGAAAATTTGAAGATTAACACATATCTTAATTTATAATAAGTAGTTCATATCGTTAACACTTCTGCTAGTCAACACAAGGATTATTGAAAACTTCGCAAGTACGAGTAATCACACTCTGTAAAAAATTAGAAATGCTATATCTCATAAGATATTAAAATGCAACCTACAAGAGGTAAAGTCCAGATCTAGATTGAAACGATATAGCAAAACATGGTAGCTTTTTCAAAAGAAAATACTTTCGATAATTTTAAGATAACGGAAAAATTCTCTATATCCTCTTTAAATTGTAAGTTCCTCAATATTAAAAAGATTTTCATATAAAGTAATGTTTATGCTCTTTTAGATAATTTTTAAAGTATTATCTTTTATCTGGAGTATTTTTTGTATATTTGCGAACATGTTATATTCGCTAAAATCAATTTTTAAAGACTACTCTGAATAGGCAACCAATCCAAAGTATAATATTTACTATTTTTTTATCGTTATCATGAACTCGTGAGATACTTAATAACAATCTTGATGGGTGGACCGCTTTTTGCGATTTGAGCTTTTATAAAAATACATAGCGCTGTATAACATTAGCTAATATAGATAATATACAGATAATATACATTCTTATTCAATTAAGGTTCACAATAGATCGCTTATTGCTTCGGTAGCATTTTTATCTAGTCTCTTATTTGTTTAGACACTTCATAATTAGTCTGTTAGATAGAGAGAGTATCGTTTGACTTTAAGCAATCGACTTGTTGGTTTTTGCCGGAATTCAGACCGGTCAAATAAAACTATTGTAAAAGAAAAGCTGTAAATACAACTAGTTGGATATTCTACAAAAAAACTGTCGCTGGCAACTACAAGTACATTTCATAATAGCACTTTTATTTTTGTCATCTAAATAGCCACCTATAAAACGCATTCAAGTAAGTTTAATGGATTGTAACGAAGAATATTAATATAAAATGCTAAATAAGTACAGCATAACTGAATGGTGTCAATATTTGGGAACCAAAAGTATATAAGATATTAAAATACAAAATGGAAAATAAGTACATATTCTAATATAACAAAAACAATTATAAATTGGTTGTAGAAGTGCTCTTTAAGGAAAGTATGCTTTTAACACCCTTGCTTATGGGTCAGTCCTTTACAAGCGAAACTAATTTTGACAGAAATTGAATTAATTATCACTAATCACTAATTAATTATCACTAATTTGGTTCAGATTTTTTTTATCAGTTTGTTTTCTAGAACAAAAAAAAACCTGTAACTTGGAAAAAATTTCAAAAATCTTGACAAACATAAAATTGGTCATTCTTCCACAAGCGGTATGAGTTTTGAATGAACTCCTTAGTATTTTTGAATAGATAATTTTTTAAAAAAGAATCTCATAAAAATTCCAAATCGGAAATAATTAATTTTAAAGCCGTTCTGCCTGTACGACTAAAGTATATAAACTTTTTTTTAAAACATTTTTGTAAGGCATTAAAGAAAACGTCTTAAATCCTATTAACTGTATATATTCTAGATTAGCTAGTCGAATTGAGTTTATTTAGCTCTTCAAACTAATATCTTTGCTTTTTTACAAACATACTTTTTGGCTGTGACTCTTGCAAATGATATCGATTTGTTCAGATTTGAATACTAAACATATATCTTATAATCGTATTTACACTTCTATATCTGTTATTAAAAAAAACTCATATAAAGGGCATCCAAGTAATTATACAGTGTTGAAATAGAGCTGGTTTCAATATAAAATGACAAATTAGTTCGGAATAGAACAATAGAATAGAAGATGTATTCATATTAATAATGAATTGTAAATAACAAAAATAATTTAAAATAAAGTACAATAGTGCAATGACCTGTACCATTTGCATGCCCGATTGAGTCATACATGCCTATGGACTGAAGATTGCTGCAGTACTACCAGTTAAGATATTCCTTCACAGGGCAGGTTAGAAGAGCACTTAGAGTGCTTTCACTCTGATTAAGTACTAAGTATTTCGTCAGCTTTAACAAAGTTTATTGTTCTAAAGATTATGCACTTGTAAAGGCTCCTCTCTTCAGTGTTTACCAACATCTACTTTACCGTAAAAGAAGGGCTGGCTTCCTCGATTTTCTCTCTAGATTTTGACTAATATCTACGAATAATATATAGTCACTAATTATATAGTCGGGACTCTCAATTTTATTTGGACAAAACTCAATTTTATTTTCTTTAAGAAACCTATTCTACATGCCTGCGAAAAATAAAATGCTCATGTGATAGAAAGTCGCTTCTATCACAACAGAACTCTTCTCCTAAATTATTTTATGAAGTTAGTATAACTCAAAGTTTTAAATTAAACCACCGATTAAGTGAAGCCTATGGAGCACTTGCAATAACAGACTTCAGTTGATCAACAATATGAGCCGATCTGAGGGCAATTATTGCTTAGTGATAAACAATAATTTAGTCAAGGTGTAGAGAGGGGTTTTGAAGAAACCTCGAGTTAAAAAAGAGTATAAGTGCTTAAGTGCACTAGCTCAAAACAGCTTCAACATAATGAGCCGATGTTGTATATTTCAATTATGTGCTAAATTTTTGTTAAACTCCGTAGATAGAATGTGTATGTGATACGAATTAAATCACATAAACATGAAAAAGAATGATATTTTTCATAAAATTAAAACTTTAAACTGTAATTAAAATTACAAATAAAATTTAATTATATACACTCAATATAAAAATCAAATAAATATTTGTAAATACTCAAATATACAAATTTTCTCTCCAAATTAAGATTGTTTCATATAAAATGCATTTTTATTTCAAATGCAAAGCCTTTACTTTAACATTATCTCTCATTATATTGGAAGTCTACTATATAAAAAACAACATCATAAGTCAATAATCGTTCTTATTAAATTTTCTACCGCTATTAATGTTTTCTTTAGTTTAGGTTTGAAATGCGTTATTTAGTATGGACCTCAACATCCACAGTTGTTGAGAAGTGTTACCAAATGCGACAACTTTTAAGGTACCAGCAGAAGGCAACTCAAACTAACCTTTATTTCCAAAATGAACTTCTTCTTAATTGGTTAATACTTCTTAAATTATTTAAATTGCCGAATGAAGTTAAAGAGATCTGATGAATCAATTTTCGCTCATTCTGCCAGATCACTAAAGAGACTGTCACCTAAACATTGGAGCCACATTGTTTATATTTCTAGCACAGTCTGTTTTTTAATGCAGTTCCTTTAATGCATTGATATAGTAGTAGAGTATCTCGTTAGCACCACAATAACCACATTAACTGCAAGTTTGTCGAAGCCGAAAATATTTTTTGTTCTTTTTGTATCATCTAGCTTGCAGTCTACGCGGTTATGGCTATTTCATTTATGTTCCTTAATATTCCACAGATCTGGTCTTATATTGAGTTGTCGGCACTCTTTTTGTTCATTTCG